GAGAACAAATGTTTTGAGAATGATGAGGGCAATGAATGTACAAATGTACTTTACACAATTGATGTATGTATGGATTGTGATAAGAGTTGTATGAGACCCCAATAAAATGATTAAAAAAACAACAACCTGAAAACAAGAAAGAAATAACTCACAAAAAAGTCCCTATATTGTAAAACGTAAGTTTCCAAGCTGAGAAGGGATATATTAAATGGCCAGAACATAGATATGGGTGGGGGGCACATCAAATGAAATTTCAATATTCTGTGAACAAAGAAAAGATCGTAAATCTTACAAAGAATAAGATCAAACATTGAATTTTGGAACTTGAAAATGGAGAGATGTCTTCAAAGTTTTTGGAAAATAAGGTCCAACTCCAACCAAATTTGGTGTGAGAGTGGCATTTTCCTAAATTGTAGTATAGCAGTAAAAGCATTCACCTATCTGCCATGATGTAGATGTAAGTAACATCAACCACTCACCACCACCACCAGAAAAACTATTACCACTGAACTGATTCCTGTTCAGGCAACTGCACAGGACAGAGTAGAACTGCCACACAGGGCATCCAAGGCTGTCGAAGTGATGGAAACAAACTGAGCAGCCGGTGGGCTTGAACTGCTGACTTTTTGCTTAACAGCTGAACATTTAACCAGGACTTCTCTGAATAACAGCTCTTTAATCATAATAAATGGTCTAATCTAACTAATGGTCTAATCAAAAGTATTATATTGGAATGCTGAGGGTTGATAAATGGATATATGTGCAAGTGTGGGTACATATATGTTAAAGATAGGGCACGTGGATGGGGAGAAAGCAAAGTCCTCTTCTTATCATAAGGAAATTAGCAGATAATGCCTCAAGTAGAAAAATAATCAGCACAGTAAGTATGCCAATACTTATAAAGCATTAAAGGTAAACATGAAAAGAAACATCTAAAAGCAGAAAGTGGTAACTTCTGGAGAATGAGAAATGAGCAATCTATTTTCCATAATAAGTCTTTAAGTATTTTCATTTTTAAAGTACATTGGAACATAGAAAAAATGTTTACATTTATGAGGAGACTGAAATGGATGAGCTGAAACAAAATGTGCACAGAACGGTTGAATGTCGAACTGATGATCTGTTCTGTAAACCTTCATCTAAATCACAAAAAAGTTTTTAAAACATAAATAAAATATTCCAAGGCCATCAAGTTGATGCTGACTCACAGGGACCCCACAGGACAGGGTAGAACTGCCCCTGTGGGTTTCCGAGCCTGTCGCTCTTTAGGGGAAGGTGCCCTGGTGACGTCATGGTTACACGTGGGGCTGCAATCCAAAAGACCAGCAGGTGACCCCATCCGCTCCTCGGGAAGGATGAGGCTTCTACTCTCATAGATTTTTACACTCTCAGAAACCCGCATGGGCAGTTCTTCCCTATCCAACAGGCTTGCCAGGAGTTGGAATTGACTCAATGGCGGTGAGTCAGGTTTTTTGGCTAACTCTTCACAGGAAGAGAAAGCCTTGTCTTTTTCCAGCAGAGCGGCTGGTGGTTTCATGGGGTGACCTTGTGGTTGGCAGTCCCATTCAGAACCACTACACCACCAAGTGTTTTGTTCTGTTGTACACAGGGTCACTATGAATCAGAACTGACTCAACAACACAACAACATGAAAGTATAGTAAGCTCAATCCTCAATATATACAATCTTGCAGTAAGATAAAGTATTCTTTTTTTTCACAAGGGTTCATCACGGTAATGAGCATTTTTTCTTGAAAGAACAAAATTATTCTAACCCGTCTTTATCACAATAAACAAAATAAGGAGAAGTTGTATGACTATAACAACAACAACAACAAAAAAAACCCTGTAAGATACAAATACAAATCCTATGACAGGCAAGAATGTTCAATGAACCCTTTGTTTTCAAAATAAACCACCACCCAGTAGCAGGTTCTAAATCAAACTGTCTGCTTTACCTCCATAGGCATCAGGCCTATGGATGCCTGAAGTCGAATGATCTGAAAGAAATCAATTCTTAAAGAAGTCAATCTCTGAAAAGCACACCAGATTGGAGCCATAGCCCGAGTGTGCTGTTGCTCGAGTCAGCATTACATGTCAGTGTCCAGGCCCCTTCTTACCTGAATCGCAGAATCATCGGAGCTTGAAATAAGAGTCTTCCCGTCTGCTGTGAACTGAACATGCCGTACAGCTTTCTTGTGTCCACTCTTGGATTGGAAGATCTGACCATTTAGGAGCTCTAAAATCTTTAAAGTAGGAAGGTACAGAAAATTAATACGAAAAAGTACACCACCCAGGCATTACACACCATAAACTAGAATAATGATAGTAAACTAAAATGAAAGCAGAGAATTTCCATCTCTTGTTGCTCTCGGGTTAGAAACACACACACACACACACACACACACACACACACACACACACACACGACACACCAACAGACACACATGTGCACGTCACCCTAAAACAACTGCCTGCAATGCCCAGATGGCAGTGGGAACCGGGGTCCTTCTGAGTACTCAACTAGCCAAGTCATCAAACAAGTGACAGTGTGCGTGCAGTCTCCAATAACAAAACGACACGAGAGAAGGATGGAGAGCAGAAAGAGAAAGCTTCCTGCGTGAGACCAGACAAGCCCTTTAACACAGCACAGACACACGGGGAAATACAGAACAAGGGAAAGGAGGCTAGGGGCGGGAAGAAAGCACATGAAGAGGCTGGGGGTCGTGCCATAGTGCAGATTGAGAAAATACTAACAAATACTAAAAATAACAACTTGGTCAAAGAGCTTTCCAATTAACTCATGTTTAAAAATCAAAAAGGAAATATGGCTTATTTTCCCATAATAAATTAAGATGTATTCAAGGGAAGACTAACAAAAAGACAGATGACACAAATATCAAATTCAGAAATTCAGACCTAACTTACATGTTTGAAAAAGGCCTGTAAAAAGCAAAGGGGTTTCTGAAGAAGCAGGACAATCTCACAACTTCTATGGTGGAAGGAAGGAGGAAGTAGGGAGCAGGACACCACAGTGTTTCTCAGTGGCTCAAGAGATATGGGTTTGAATCCTGGCTCTGACGCTAATTTCTTGAAAGTTATGGAAACTAAAAACCACTGGAAAGACGTCTGTTTTAGAGACCTCTGTAAATCTGAGATGATAATACCTGACATCTAGGTGCTGTAAGAATTCAAATACAATGTTTGGAACAGTAAATGCCTAATAAAAAGTAACTGTTATTTATTTGATGATACTTGACTAAATCATATGAAACTCTTGTTTCATGGGTTAAAAAAACAGCTGGATATTGCTAATTTGGTTCATGATATATTATTTATATTATTTGGCAGTTTTTCAGACAGATTAGGATGTAGGTAAAAGGCACATGTGTACACAGTGTGTAATCTCAGTAAAAAACCAGGGAACTAAGGACCCTGTAAGAGGTAACAGGCCAATACTATATGACAATCTAAGAGATGAGACTGCAAGAGAGCGACTGAGGTTAGCCTGAAAATGTACAGTCATCCTTTGCTTAAACATCCAAAATATATGTATTGTTAGAAGTATGTCCTTTTTAACTACTAGTAATGTTTCACATTAATGAAGAAAAAACATAGGCTCAATTCTGAGTTCATGCTACAATGGCCCTGGCAAATGCACAATGGCACTGGCATCACTTCCTTCTTCACTTTGTATGTAATAACATTCTCTTTGTGGGGCAACAGAGACGGGAGAACATTTGCATCATTTCTCCTGAAAATGAATTCAAAGTGAAATAAATGTGGCTAGTGCTACAGCTGATAAATTTAATTAATAGTTCAAAATCCTGGGGGGACAAAGAAGAGTCCATGTTCTTTGACAAACTATTAAATATCTAAAAAGAAAATGTGCTTTTATACAATTTTTATAAAGACTCATTTGTTTTATCCAAAGTTATTCTTATTTTACTCCTTTATCTCTTGGTTTTGTTTTCACTTTGAAAGATTTCAGGTGGTGAAGAGGTGTACTGTCAAGACCAAAAACAGAACAGCAAGGGTGGTGAGACGGTAAGCATACTGGAAGGAGCGAAAGGTGCTCAAGGAGATAATCAGCACAGCGGCGGCAACAGGCTCGAGAACAGGAACAATCGTGAGGATGGGCAGGGCTGAGCTGTGTTTCATTACACTGTGCATGGGTCACTATGAACTTGATGGTCCTTAGCAACAAGATAACCCGATACTAATATTCCCGGTGAACCTTGTGTTGTCATTAGATGCCATCAAAGTGACCCTATGTACAACCGAACTAAGCGGTGCTTCTGCACGACCCTCACAAGCACTGTGACATTTAGCCCATCACTGCGACTACTGTGCCGATGCAGCTCGCTGAGGGTCTTTCACTTTTCCACTGAGCCCCTACTTTACCAAACGTGTCTGTTTCTAGAGATTGGCCTCTCTTAATGATGGGTCTCATATACATGAGACCAAATTTTACCACTCTCGCTTCTAAGGAGCATTCTGACTGTACTTCTCCAAAACAGATTTGCTTGTTCTTCTGACAGGCCGTGGGACTTTCAATGTCGAGTGCCCACCATAATGCAAAGGCATCGATCCTTCTCTGCCATTGTTCACTGTCCAGCTTTCCTATGTACATGATACCACTGAAAATACCACGGCCTGGGTAAAGCAAACATGAGTCCTCCAACTGACATATTTGCTCTTTAACATTTTAAAGCAGTGGTTCTCAACCTTCCTAATGCCACGACCCTTTAATACAGTTCATGTTGTGGTGACCCCCCCAACCATAAAATTATTTTCATTGCTACTTCATAACTGTAATTTTGCTAATGTTATGAATCTGGCGACCCCTGTGAAAGGGTCATTCGACCCCCAAAAGGGTTGCATGACGACCCACAGGTTGAGAACCGGTTTTAAAGAGATCTCCAAAACCAAAATAGAAACAACTTATAACCCAAAACAACTGAGTTTCCAAAAAGAGGAGGAAAAAATGTTCTTTGCAGTTAGCTAAATCTCTCTTAGTCCTTCATACATTTAGAACAAGAACACAAATAAAGCAAGACTAAGGATCGCAAAATTAAGAGCAATCTGAAAAACACAAAACCAACTAGGTCAAAAGATGATTTATAGTAGAACAATGACATATATTCGTGTGTTATTCTACAGGCAAGATAGAATTAATTAATTATAGAGAAATATCTATATAACACAGAATGACTTTGAAGACTAGCCAGTAATACCTCAACGGCCCCATCCTCATCTCCAAAGGCAATGTACTGAAGCTGTGGACTTAAGCAACAGCAACTAACTTGAGCTTCAGTCAGGTAGTCAATCTGACCTGTTTTTCCATTAATGAGCTAATGAAAAAAAAAGAAGACACAATTGGTTATTAGCTGTGAGCATAGTTTTCACTCTTTATAACAGAAGTTTAAATTGAAAAAATAAAACATAGAAAATAACCAACAAGAGCTCCCAGGGGAACAACAAAATCCTATCCTAGTCTCAGCTGCTACATTTAGCACTTCATGCTTCCATTTCATTTCACTTTCTGTGGCTCAAATGCATTTTCATAAAATAAAACGGGCTTTTAAAAGGTTCCCAAAGTAGCTGCTGTGCCCACCACCTGAGACATATCTGTCTGATTTGTAATCCCACAGATAGCTCCACACCTTCTTTTCCATTTCTTCTTCAAAGTCCATTTTAATAGAGCTATCATTTGTTAAAATTCCTCACTGATAATTTTTCAAGGGGGTTAGTGAAATAGGACTGAGACAGACATTCCACAAGAAGACACGTTCAAATTAAAATGGGTTTCAGACCTTCCAAAACCATGTAAATTAGGTTCTTTTTCTGTAAAGGTGCAGAGTATTCAAAAAGTGCCCACAAGCTTAATTTGGATTGCTGAATTTATATTGCTATAACTAAGATTATCCTGTTTTATTATCTGTACCAATGCTAATGAGTTTTTTAAATTCTACTAATAAAAGATTCATCCAACTAAAACGTGACATGAAAATATTACTGAAGCTTATATCAATGATCAGATATCTCTTGATAACTTAGTGTTCCAAACTACCAGGAGGGAAGGGGGAGGTAGCAAGGGGGAATGGATCACAGGGAGCCG